CCCCACATAGGTTGCATCTTCACAGCACAGCCTTTGTCTGGAAACGACACACCAAGGCACTCCCAGGCCGGTCAAGCGCCTCCTCTGCGAAACCCCGCCAGCTCTCACCCGTGCCCTGCTCAGAAATCTCCCTGCAGTGAGATCACCAGATCCCGTGCCCAGGAAGAAACAGCTGCAGCAAGTCGAGACACTTCCTAGCCGGCAGCCCTGCGAGGGAGGCCCACCCGGGCGGCATCTCCCAGGGACCAAGGGGCAGGGGGAAGGAGTCAAGCACGCACCCAAAGGGGGCCCTCCAACGCGCCCTCTGTGGCCACCGGCAACAGACCTCTGCCGATGCTGAAGTTTGCCAACCTGCTTCCATGGTGGCTTCTCATGGAATGCCTTCTGCTCCGGAATGTCCAACTCTGGCTAGGTCGACTTATGCATTTTGATTGGCTGCAGCTGCAACCTGGGCATCCGGACACACACCTGGGTGCAGAAACCCCTGAGAACTGCACCAGAGAGCCCATGACCCCATGCAGGGCAGGCGTGCCCGCTTCCTCTGCATCCTGTGGATTTCCCTGTCCTGGCAGGATTTTGCCTGGCACCACTCCTCTTTGTTCAGACTGCAATGGCATTCAGGCACTGGGCTTGGACTCCTGATTGCTGCTCCAGAGAAAGAGAGCCGGGTATCACCAGCATTGGACCTGACCCCGTCGAAGCAGCTTCACCGAAATGGGAAAAAACCGTGGGGCGAAGGCGGAGCTGCGGAGGTTTCCTGAGCGATCGGCGGGAGAGCTGCACAAAGCTCTGCCTGGAAGGGGCCTGCGAGCAGAAGCGGGAGCACTGCAGAACGGTGCTCCGATTGCTGTCCTTCTACAGCTCACACCTGCCCAAAGCGAAGGCCGGCCTCTGGCGACGGCCATGCGGCGCACAGCCTGCTGGGGAGGGCAGCTGCTGCGGCCCCAACACCGAGGCCCAGGATGATGTCCGGAGGCAGGAGCTGAGAGCCGTCCAAAAGCGCAGGAAGCTGTTCTGAGGCAAAGTGGTCGGTCCGGGTTTTTCCAGCACTTCGGTGGGGTGGAGGGGGCACTCCCCGAATACGGTCTTCGCCTTGGCGCAAAAGGCAACGTGAAACTTCCAACATGGAGGTGGCGACACGGCAGCCAAGATGCAAGCAGAAAGGCCATTTCTGGCACCCACTGAAAAGACCCCAAGGTGCTTCCTGAGGAAGTGATGATGGCACGTCAGTCCCACGGGGATTCTCGAGGAAAAGATCAGCCCGTGAAGGCAGCCTCCATTCCCTTCCTCCTCTGCCACCAGAAACGCAGCGCTATGGCCCGGGCCACTTGGGCCGCATTTTCCATCTGAACAGCAGGGGGGCCTCTGAGAGGGCCAGGCCGCTGCCGGGAGAAGTTGCCTGGCTGAGAGGCGCCACCGAAAGCAGCCCTCCCCAAAAGCACAGGGGCTGCTGACCCCGAAGGTCACCCCTCTTCTGTGCCTCTCTCCATGGGGAGGAGATGTCCAGCAAAGGTGGAGTGCAAATTCTTCCCAAACCAATTTCCTTGTGGAGGAACGGGCAACTGGAGGCCCCCAGAAGTTTTGGTCTGCAACTCCCATCAGCCCCAGCCTGCAGCACCCAAGCGCTGGGATCCGGAGGGATGCGGCGTGCTGGATGTTTTGTCCTAGCAGTTGCCTATCCCTGCCGTGGCTAATCCGTTCCTACCCTGTGGCCAAAAGTGCAATTCGGGGCTCAGGTCTTGGAGGCAGATGTGAGGGAGCTGCTTTGGGCTCAGAAAGAGCACGAGGCAGAAGTTTTGCAAAGTCCAAATGGTGCGGAGAATGTGAAGGAGAGAAGCTGCTTCCGCAATACTAATGCAAGAGCAACGCTTGTGATTGCCCGGCAATAGAGCTGGTTCGGCAAGGACTGCTTCCTGTTATATGTCATTGACGTTTGGACTGCACTGTCCCAAGAGGTGGAAACGTATTTAGAAATGCATGCAGGGAAAGGGCTGCCAAGGAGGGCTGCCAGCAGTGCCTCCCAGGGCCGTTGCGCGCAGAGGCCTCTCTCGGTGCTGCTCGCCCCCGGGGTGCCATCTGCGTCCTGCAGTGAGTTTCGCCACTGAGCTAAGTAAACAGCTGCAGTCCCACTTACCTGGGAGGAAGATGTACCGATTCCAACAGGACCAACTTCTGAGTAGTCACGGAGCAGACAATCCGGGCATATGGTCAGATGGAGTAAAAAGCCAGAAAGCACGACGAGAGTCCGAGGGAAGCAAAGGCGCCCCTTCCGTGAGGAGCAGCAAGCTGCCCTGTGCTACCTCAGGCTGCTCGGCCACCGAGCCTCGCCCTGCTGGCGTGGACTGGCGCCGCTTCGGAGACGGTCCTTCCCCAACCCTGGCCGGAGATGCTGGAGATCTGCTGGGGCACATCCTGTGACCCAAGCCCGTGCTTCGCCCCCACAGAGCAGCCCCCCCTGCAGCAGGCCCCTCCTGCTCATGGCCGAGTGCTGCGTGGGCGTCAGCGTCTGCTCCGTTCCCTCCAGTTGCCACTGCGCCCCGATCAGGCAACGAGCGGGGAAGGCGAGGCAGAGGCGGCATCTTCTGGGGCCGACCCGGGTGTGGAAATGGAAGGGGCTGGACCAGAGGGCTCCCTGGATGGCTTGGAGCGCCAGCCCTCACCTGAGCCGGACAGTGTGGCTGTTACAGGCCGGGGGGGGGGGGGAGGACGCTCCCCCAGGCCCAGGGCTCGATCACAAAACTGCCACCACCAAACCTGGCTCACCAGCCGTGAGCTGTTGTCATCGCCGGCAGACTGGCAAAACTGTGGTGCAATACACCGTTAGAGAGCCCTCTTACCACCTAATTAAAGACATCTTGGCTCAATCATACACATTTTACTTGTTTAATTATTCAGTTAAATCAGCACACATTTGCATATGAATAAATGTTGGAGGCCAAAGGCAGTTTTTGTGCGTGTTGCATCAAGCACTGCCTCTGGGAAGTGGGAGGGATGAACGCCCCTCCTGAAAGCGGAACTAGATATTATCTCAGCAAATAGGCAGATGCGACCTGCTCTTGCCGGAATGGGGCACACAGGAAAGAGCAGTGAGTGCTAGGGAAGACTGGCATCGAACGAGAGGGCGCTCAATCCCTCCATTCACTCCTGCAACGTGGCCCCAGCTTCCCTGCCTGCCCCCCCCCCACGCATGGGCTCAGTTCCAATTATCAAGCCTTCTTGGAAAAATACAATGAAGCTGCGACGGCTTATAGCCCGGCTTGCCTCCCGTGTCCCAGCCCTCCTGTGCAAAGGTTTTCCCGCTCCCACACTGACGCTGCGAGGGACACTGATCCTATGATTCCATGAAATGGAGCCGTAGGGATGTTTTCCATGGAATGACTAGTCCCCTGCTAAGATGGCTCCTACTGCAGATGAATTTTGGTCCCACTTGTGTTAAAAATACTCAGAAAATGCCCTGGAACATCACCTCTTAACTGCTTGGCAAGCCTGTTGGTTGAACAGGGAGCACCTGCGTGTTGTGCGACCGGCGGCAGCCGGTGTTGCGGGGGGTCTGCAGAGCAGGAAAATGAGCTCAGTCCCTTGCCTGACTGGGATGTTGCCACCCACTGTTGGGGGGAAAATGGGAACAATCCCCAGGAAAGAGGCAGAAGCTGCATTTCTTTGAAATGCAACATTCACCCAGACCCTGCCTGCCTTCTGCAGGACTCATCTTATCCTGAAGTGTGAATGCTCTGATACTTAAAACAAAAACAAAAACTCAGCCATTCTCTGAATGCTTCACTCAACATATTTTTAAAGGCATGGCAGAAGGAACTTCCACACACATACCTGGCAAGCCAAGGCAGCCCAGCATGGTGGCGACAGACCTGGGGCAGGGTCAGAACCCAGCTGCCCCGCAAGCCTCTGCGGGGATCACAAACACGCTCTCGGCCTCCGGGCTCGCCCCGTCATCTCAGATCAGCTGTTGCTCCCGAGGAGCTCGATTCCAAATCTGCTACTCCATGGCTCCGGAAGGCGTTCAGTGGCCTCAGCACCCGCTGCCGGGTCTGGCGGGCCTGCAGCAACACTGCTTCCGTGATCACCAGCACCACAATGAATGTGCGAACCCAGCAGGGCCCTGCTGACTTGTGTGCCTGGCTGCAGCATTGACAGCGGTGCAGTAGGAAAGGCCAAATCCTTTTAGGCCCCACAGCGCCACCCCCACCCCCAAGGAGGGATCCACACTGGCAAAGCGGTTCCAGCAGTTTTCCTGTCCAGCTGGAGCAGGTCTTTTGAAAATGAATGGGTCCAATTCCCATCCAAGTTCAAGCCTTCCCAGGGGAAACAACAATTCCCACCTCCCCACCAGCCAGGGAGTCTGCAACCAAGCTCAGGTGGAGCAGCCAGGTGTGCGCCCTTGCTAGCCCAGCACCACGAGTCTCAGCCCTGAGGCACCCCTGCCCTGCCAGCAAAGTGCAGCAGCTCCCTCTCCGGAAGCCTCCGCGTACCTGGCTCCCTCGACACAAGTGCTGCCAATGTTGCTCTGCGTGCCCATCTCTGCAAGGGGCTGGCTGTGCCCCACCAGTGTGGCTCGTGGGGGGTGGCCGGCCCTCCCCCGTCCAGGGTCTGTTGGGCTGTCGTGCCGTGTGCACTGGCCCAGCGCGTGCATTTCTGAAGGCATCCTCTCCCAACCAGCGCCACCAGCACCACCCCAGAGGTCTCCCAGGAGAGCCAGTCAGAACTGGGCATCAGCTCTCGTGAAGCACTCCATTCGGTGTGACTCTGGAAGGTTCACCAGTGCACCCCTGCAATGCGGGCTGCTCCTGAGCCCGGCATGGCTACAGCCCTGCCCGAGACAGAGGCCCTGGAACGCAGCGCCCTCTTGCCAAGGGGTGTGGCCAGGCTACCCGAGCCTTTTCTCCCTCTCTCTCCCTCTCCCAGAGATGCTAGACCGAGTGGACTGCCCCCGTTTGTATGGCCAGTGAGCCGGTTGCCCCAAAAAGGGCCCTGACCGAATTTACCTTGAGCAGCTCCCGCGGAAAATCACTCCCTTCGTTCAGTCCTTCCAGGTTCCCGATGAAATCCGAGCAGGACATTCGCTTCCCAATGTTCTGTGAGGAGAAACGGGAGAAGGAGAAAGAGCAACAAGCTCGCAAGGACAGCAGGACGAACGAATGGCAACTGGCCCATCGGAGCCGAAGGACTTGGCCAAACACTTGGTGAGGGGGCACGGCCTGAGCACCCTCTGGAGCCCCAGGGCGGCAGAGCTCCATCTGCAGTGGGAAGGGGCACGTTTATTCCTGCTCCAACATGTCTGGTGAGTGTCTGCAGAAGCGGCGGACGTGGCAGATTCAAAGAAAGTGCTGTGCTTTAATTTTTATTTTTGCAATACACCTGCCACCCCAGCTAACCTTCACCCCTGTTGGGAAAATCTGGATAAATCCAGGCAGAAAAATGTTGCTTATATGTGCTTTTGTGCTATCAAATCAAACCTGCAGCCTTTCTCTAAAGCACCGGCTTTCCAAGCCACGTCACTGCTTAATATTGCTGTTGCATTAAGAAAATGGCACTCCCTGCAACTCCCCTCTCCTTCTCCTCTCTAGCTGTAAGCCAGAGGAGACAGGTCATTCAGTCGAATACACTGTCATGCTACAATGTTGCTGCATAGTCCCTGCAGGAATTCACAGTTTACCAAGAAGTATTTAGTTAGCTAGCCCAGAGTGCTTCCCGCACTATAGCCAGTTAGAAAGGTGAGGATCCATTACTCGGCGTCTGAGCCTTCCTGATAACAGAATGTAACAGATGAGCTTATGACTTCATGAATGTTTTCTCAATAGCCTGAATCTGCATGCCCAAGCAGACCTGGGGATGGGTTCAGCTCTTCTGGAATGGGTTCAACTCTTCTGGACAGACTATGGAAGTGGGCAGGAGACAACAGGATGGTGTTCAATGTGGAGAAGTGCAAGGTCTTGCACTTCTGGCATAGGAATGGGTGTCATAAGGGCAGGTTAGGGGACAAGTGGCTGGAGAGCAGCGCTTGTGAAAGGGACCTCGGGGTGCTGGTTGACTGCAGGCTGAACATGAGTAAGCAGTGTGATGCGGTGGTCAAGAGGGCAAACGCCACCCTTGGCTGCATAGCCAGAAGTGTGGCTTCTAGATCGAGAGAGGTATTACTGCCACTCTATACGACTCTGGTGTGCCTGCAACTGAAGTATTGTGCTCAGTTCTGGGCCCCTCATTATAGGAAGGATATAGATTCCATTTAGATGCCAGGAAGCACTTCCTCATAGTTAGGATCCCGAGGGTATGGAATGGGCTTCCATGGGAGGTGGTTGAGGCCCCAACGGTGAGGGTGTTCAAGGGTAGGCTGAACGTGCACATGATGGGCATGTTGTGAGCAGAGCTGGCTGGAGCTGGGGGTCAGACTAGATGGCCTGGGAGGCCTCTTCTGGCTCGCTCTGTCTCTATGTTTCTATGTTACTCAACTGAAATGTCAATACAGTGCAATTAGCAATATTGTAATCTTATTGTCACTTGTATGTTTGGCTGATCTTCCTTGTCTGTTTTGTATATGATGACCTCAGAATTTCATTGTAACATCTGCATTCCATCATTAATTGCTCTGTGCCTGTGTACATGACTGGGAGATTATAAAATGTTCTGTACTTGTATTGAAACCTCGCAGTTGAGTTTGCCTCTCCCTGGTAGTACATTATTGTTAGTCTACTGCAGGATTCCTGGAGCTTTGGGCAATAAAGCAGTGAAGGTTCAAACGTTTGATTTTTCCCACAAACCAGAGTATTTATTTCCTCCCCAGAAATTGAAAACCGAGATTCTGTCACCTCTTAACTTCCTTTGTTTCTTCCGTCGTTTATCACTGTTTTCAGTCCCTTTTCCTTTCTGCCTACCATCCTAACTGTATTTTACTTTCCCTCTGCCTTTCCCCTGAAACTTGCAAATTATCTGCCACAGGACGTGGGGCAGCAGGAAGGGAAAGCAGAGTGAGTGTGGGGCAGCTCAGCTGCACGGCGCCACGGCTGATTGTCAGGACGGGCTGCTTTCACAGGGCTTGGACGCTGCCCAAAGGGCCCCTGCTTGGCCGGAGATCCCTCTCTCTGCCCAGTGTGCCAGTGCAGTGTCCCCAGGGAGCCCGCTGAGGATTGGGGGAAGGAGGAGGGGCATGGAGCAGCTGGATTGTCAGGGGTCTGGGTGCCCTTAAGCACAGGATTGGGACCCCCTGAGTCCACCCGGTGCACCAAATGCTGGAGTGTGGCAAAGCTGGATCTTTCCACATCTCCTTCTCCAGCAGCTCCACGGTGGACGCATGAGCGCAAATGCATAAGCCCCAGCGTGGCTCCTCTTTCCCGAATTCGGAAGCAGGGTGCGTCTCAGCAGAGGGAATCATTCTGCTTCCCAGCCAGGCCAGAAACCGGCCGAGCAAAGGATTCCAGCTGGGAAAATGGGCACGGCTATCTGGGCAGCGGAAGGGCTTCCGTAAGGGCGAGGCTGACGGGAAGCAGAAGGAGACACGTGTGCAGACACGGGGACTTGCTGGGCCCCTGGACGCTCCAGGCGAGGACGCCCGGCCTGGGGAGGACACCCCTCACGCGGCTTCCCTGAGGCACGTCCCCGTCCCGAGAACAGCTGCGGAGCCAGCGCACGCCTCAGAGGCACTTACGTGTCCGTGCAGGTCCGTGTTCAGGAGCATCAAGGCGCAGGTCAGCGTGTGGGCCCCATCTGCGGGACAAGCACCAAGAGGTGTGGGTGGGGGGGGGGGGCGGGTGATCAGAGGCTCACAGCCTTGCCAGTTTCCCACCCAGCAGGAGGTGCTTGGCCCAGCAGATGCCACGAGGACCCCAGGCAGCCCACCAGGCCGGCTCGGCAGGGCATTCTCAGCGCACGGAGGACTGACCCGCCGGCGGGCCTGGTTTCCGAGCGTGCCCCAAGCCCGCCCGCCCGCCGTCTCCCCGTTCCCCCGCGCTCTCACCCTCCGAAGAGATGGCTTTGGGGTTGCACTCGTAATAGCGCTGTGAGAAGTGGGCGAGGACCCGCTCCCGCTCTTGCGTCTCGCCCATGAGGGCCAGCTCCTTCAGAAAGGACCTGGGGAGAAGAAGAGGGCGCGTGACACACGGAGCTGCCTCCGCCGGGCCGGCCTGCCCACCGAGCCACACGCACGCCGGCTTCCTTTGGCTGAACGGGGGGAGAGTGCGCCCCCCCCACCCCCACCCCAGGGCTCATCTGGCGACCGCCTACTTGCGTGAGTGTACAGACGGGCGGCGTGCCGGCTCTCACCCGGGGAGGCAGGCACCGCCGCATGCCCACGGGACGGCCAGTTCCAGGAGGGGGTGCTGGGGCCATGCTGCCTCACGGCGCTCCGCCACGGCTCCCCAGGGCCCCTCTCCCCCGCAGCCCTGCTGGCCACACCTGCATGGGGCCCTGGGAAGGGGCTGCCCGGAGCGGGGGAAGGCGGTCACGGCTGCGGGGGAGCTGGCACCTGCGGCCAGGGCACCTGCTGGGAGAGGCGAACCGAACGCTCAGTTGACTCAGCGCCTCAACTGCCCCGTCTCAGCAGAGATGCCCCAGACCGGCTGGAAGTGGCAGAAATCACCGCGCGGCTGGCCGGATCACTGCCTCTCTGCCCCCCGATCCTTCTGTGGCAGAGGCAGTCATGAAAGGCATTCTGTCCAAGGGCCGGAGAGCAGCCCTCGCATGCCAAGGACTGAAGGGGGGCCTGCAGGTCATGTGAGCACTGGGAGAGGGCTGAGGGAGGGCCCGGGAGGCTCGGGATGGGCCAGGCAGCTCCCAAGTGCAGGAAGTTCCAGACGGGTCAGGCTGAGGACCAGCGGCGCTTGGCGCACACGGCCAGAGGATATGGCTTCGGAGGTCACCGCAGCAGGCGAGGCCGGCCATCCATCCATCCATCCATCCATCCATCCATCCATCCATCCATCCCATCCGGTTTCCTCACGGGCCGAGCCCGCCTCCCTGGACCCCCCATGCCAGCTGTCCCCCACACCACGCATTGCGTGGAGACGTTTGCCGCCGGCCTCTGCTTTTCCACACATGAATTGCGAGCCTTTGCTGGTTGGTGAGGACTGGGGCGCAAACATGGAGAGCGGCTCATCCACGGTGTAGGACGTGGCGTGTGGAAGATGGGGTCAAAAACATGAAATGCTGAAGAAAGCGAGTGCCACAGGCAGGGGCCCCACTGCGCAATTCAGGACCGGCCCCTGGCTGCTCTGCCTCCTCATCCTCTGCAGCGCTGCTGCCCAACTGCAGCCTGATCATGGCTGATGGGACCAGGCCAAGGGTGCGATCGATGCTACTCTGCACGGGCGTGAGAGCGCACCCAGCCTCAGGCAGAAGCTGTGCCGCCACGGCAAGCCCGGAGCGCAGGCACCGAGCCCCAGGGACGGGGCTGGCGCCTTCGGCAGCAGTTCCCGGCTCAGTGCGTGTGGGCGTTGCGTGGAGGCCACTGAGTTCGTATGGAAAGCTGAACATTTTTATCGGCACAAGAGGGGGCATTCGTAACCTGTTGGGACTGGAGAAGAAAAGGCGGGGATGTGGGAGCAGAAAGAGGCCGCAGACAGACCGAATCTGAAAAGAACTGGAGAAGGTGGCACAGAGGAGCAAAGCAACGCCATCCTCCTGCAGATGGAGCCTCCTGTGTTCTGAGCCGCCATTGTGGGAAGAGGCACAACTGCTTTTAAGGAACAGCCGTGGCCAAACTGTTCGTTCCGCCTGCATCCACTCAACGGAAGAGCGGCCATGGAGACCCCGTTGCTTCAAAGGCGAGGCACCATGCGCCTCTGAAGACGAGCCTCCGCAGCTTTGGACGCTGCCCTGCTCCTCACACGCGGCCGAATGGCGTCCACCAGCAGTGCGCCGTGTCCCATGGGGCTAGGCAGGCCCCACCCCTGCGGTTTTGGGCAGGTAGCAAGAATATCCGGCTGATCGACCGTGGAGGAGGGGCAGCAGCGGCATCGAGAGCCCAAGGAAAGGGCCGGAGAGGCCATGTGCTGACAGGTGCAAGCGAGCGTCAATCGTGAGAGCAGCGTTCCCCAGAGCCCCGTGCAGCACCGGGGTGCCTGCTTTCGGCATTCCAGGAGAGCCCCCGCCCCCACCACTCACCGAAGTGCCTGATCCAGCGTCATTCCAGTGAATTCAAAGAACTTGAGGTACTCCCCTGCCACCATCTTACTAAAATCATTACTGAAAGGGAGACAAGAGGCATCTTAAAAAGTGCCGCACGAGGAGGAGGAAAGCAGGGGAGGGTCGTTCCCGGAGGCGGCACCAGGGTGCAGCAGCGAGGAAAAGGCGGCCGCAAGAAAGGACCCGGGCAAGTGCGGAGCAGGCCGGCCGGCACGGCGGTCCCAGGGAAGACTTCGTTCCAGCCCCTGGCGAGGCCTGTGCGTGACGGCGCGCACCGCGAGCCAGAGGAGCTGCAGCACAGGCCACCCCACCGCAGGCGTGTGGCGCACACGGAAGGCACGGCCAGCCCTGCAGTGCCGGATCGAGGCCGGCTGGGCAGAGGTCCCGGCGGCCTTCCGGAGCGGGGGCTGCTCCTGCTGTGCTGGTCCTCCCAGGACCGCCTCCGTAGCGGGGGTCCCTGGGGGTGGCCGGCCGCCCCCTTCCCCCCAGGGAGAGCTCTGTGTGAAGAGAGCGTGCCCCTCATACCCACACGTACTTCTTCCCCAGGTGCCGGGCCACGTCGGCCTTCTTGAAGCCGTCCAGGTTGAAGAGCCGCTTGGCCAGGCGCTTGGCGGCATCCAGGTCAGCTTTGTGCCCGCTGGAGAGGGTGTCCGTGCTGCCCAGGGCCAGCTGCTCCACGCTGTCCAGCTCCGAGCCTGAGCCCGAGCCCGAGCCCGAGGTCAGCTGACTCAGAGGGTGCTCGCTGAAATGAAGAGACCTTGCGAGCGGACCCGTTCCTCTCGCCCTCCTTCACCGCGAGCGGGAGGTTTGAGGCGGGGCACGCCCGGGATGGGGCAACAGCCCATAATGAGCAGTATCCTCGTGCAAGAGGAGGGAAGGGAGGCCTGGGGCTCCTTCCTCTTCAGAACAAGCCTTTGTAAGTAAGAGGATTCCGGATTCACATTTTAAAAACTCTCAAACAGCCTTCCCCAACCTAGTGGCCTTCGGAGGCATTTGGAGCACAATGCAGGGCCGTGGACAAGGGATTCTGGGTGCTGCAGTCCAGCTTTCTGGGTGTCTGGCAGGCCCAGGCTGGGCAAGGCTGCTCTGGAAGCTCAGGGCTGCAGTGCTGCCGGAATGAAGTGCTCCGGCCCCCTCTGGGGGGCTCCTCCTCCCTGATGGCCTTCAGGGACTGGAAACCCCCAAAGTGGAGCTCCATCACGCAGTGCCGGCAGGAGCAGCGGCGTGAGCGGTTCCCGTGACCTTTCGCTTGGCCTGCTTTTGCTGGTCAGGCTGCTTGCCTGCCAGACCCCCATCCGGGCACTAGCAGGCAAATGCCCCCCCCCCCGCAGGGGTCTGTGGGAGCTGCAGAGGACCACGGGCCAGGCACGGCGGTGGTCCCCGGGACACGGTGGGAGTGGGGCAAAGGCCTCGCGCGCGGGTGCTTTCGCAGCATGCGGGTGGCACACGCCCCTCCCGGCTGGCAGGCTGGCTTTCCTTCCCCCTGACTGCTCTGCTTTTCTCTTCAGGCAGGGGCAGCTTCGCCCTCACCCACTCCCAGCATCACCAGTGGCAGGAGTGCGGTGTCCCGGGGTCAGGAATGCCCGCCTGAAGGCCACCGGGTTTGGGGGAGCTGCCAAAAGGGTTCTGGAGGGATCCCTGTGGGAGGGATCGGAGCGCGCCAGGTGGGGGCCCGGGAAGCCGTTCCCTTGGGCCTCGCCTTTCAGTGTTGCCCGGAGTGCAAGACAGAGAGCAGAAGCCGGGGCCGCATCCGTCTCCGTATTCCACGTGCCGCAGCTCGGTTCTGCAAACCTGGTGCACCTGCCTGGTGTGCACGATTGCGGAAACCATTTTCTGCCTAGGCATGCTGCCGCCCCTTTGCCTGATTCCCCTTCTGAACTGGATTCTTTTCCTTTCACTCTTGGCCCCCTTGGAAGTGGCCATGCAAAATTGGGGAAGGTGCGCTGCCCGCTCAGGCCACGAGGAAGCAGCCCCCCCCCCGCTCTGCCCTCCCTCCGCCTGGAGACTGAGGCCGAGGGCAGGCACTGGAGAAGCGTGGGCACCTGCTGCTTCTCCTGCCCCTGCCCCCGCCCCCCGTGCCTGTGGACAGCCTTGTCTCGCTCCCACATCTCAAGCCCTGGGATACGAACCACGAAGAGCCGTGGCGCCTGCGAGACAAGCCGTGTTGCTGTTCTACAAGCACCTGGAGACTACAATGCACCCCATTTTTGCAGCAGGCCAACACGGCTGCGCTTCTCGAAAATGCCATGACTGAAGGCAGTGCCGTGGATGGCCATTTTAAAGCGGGCCTTAAGCAGGCTTGCTCGATGTTTCATTCAAAATGCCTACAGCGGTGGAGGGCGTGTGGCGACCGAGGCCATGGCAAGTAGTGCTTTTGGGGGCAGGAGGAATTTCGGGTGGGGAACAGTGCCAGGAGAATGACTGATTCCACCTCAGCCTGTGCCATCGTCCAGCGCATTGCAGAATTCCCGTGGTGCCAAGCCTAAGAGGTGGCCGGCTGAACACGCTATCCAAATGCACCTAACTTGATATGTCGTTTGGCCCAGATTGGTTTTCCTGGTCAGAAGAAGAAAGATTAGGTGGAGCACCAGGCATACCAGCTGAACCAAGTACAACTTGTTTAAATAAGATTTACTACTAATTAATAAAGGCAGGATTTTAGTGTGTCATATCATAATCTGGTTTTCTAAGAATTAAGTTCGACATATTTCCAAAAAAGCAATATTAAGAAGTATTATTTGTAGTTTACCTAAAATCAACCTGATAACATTATTGTGGTCTTTGGCAAAAGTTAAAAAGTGAATACAGAACTCCAGCCTAGATAGACTGGAATTTTGTAACATGTTGGTCCAAAATGTCTCTGAGCTGCTAATTTTTTAATTCAGTCCAAGGTAAACGTTATACCACGATGACCTGGCCAGCAGTTGGAGGCATGTAGCACATTTTCCTTCATGGATTTGTTAGAAATGCATTTTGCAAAATATACTCCCTGCAGTTTCTTCATTACGGAGCAGAATCTGTAGCTCCGCTGACTATACAGAAGGTAAGCTCAGCAGCATGGAAGTCCAGCCTCAACTGCAAAGCAGAAAGGACCCAGATCGCTTGAAGCTTTGCCCAAGAAGCCATCCCCCTTTTAAACAATCATCCTTATCCAATCGGGTGGAAAACATACCGCTTCAGAGACATTCTTATTGATGGATTGATTAAAAGCTTTTCTATCCTGTCCCCTACAAACATCTTGGGACGGCTTGTGGACAAGGCTTCACATCCTTCTGCTGACCTTACTTACGAGGAGCACACGGAAGTGGCCTGTTCTAATTAGCCCTAGAGCTCTCTGGCAGCTCACAGCCTCCTGGCCCCTTACAATTGATCGATCGATCGATTGATTGATCGAAGTGCAAAGGAAGACGCCATGAGGTGGCAAGTCCTTTAGGGGTTTTCCCAGATCCGGAAGCACAGGAGCTGCGGGATCCATGGAGCGGTCAAGCTGGACGGGGCCACTGGTTCCAACCCCCTGCTCAGTGCATCCCCGGTGGGGGCTGTCCAACCCAACCCCCCCCTCTCGAGCCTCAGGCATGGGAGGGCCGACCCCTCCCAAGGTCATGGGCTCCATGGCTTAACAGCCAGGGAATCTTCCTGCTCTCCAGCCAGACCTCGGCTTCCTCTAGCTTGAGCCCGCCATTCCTTGCCCTGCACCCTGGGATGGTCGAGAGGTGAGAGAGCCCAGCTGGCCCTGCTCTTCGTGACGGCCTTTCAGGTATCTAAAAGCAAAGCGATGTGGGGGAGACCACTGCGCATGGATGCTGCTGCTGCTGCAGACATTTTGGGGTGTGTGGAATGGTGCCCAGCCTGACAGCGCAGTTGCTGAAGCTATTAGGTTAGGTTAGGGATTCCCCGTGCTGCTCCGAAGGTCTGCAGAGGCCTTCGTTGTTTAATCTCCCCAGAAAGCTGCATTCAGAAAAGCAATTCTTACCATCCCACCTCACTGCCCTGCCATAAACACATCAAAAGATGCCTCGGTGTCCGGTGGTGAAGACCAGGTGACCCCAGTCCATGAGCGGGTGACTGTCGAAGCGCAATCGCCGTGTGTTACAGGCTTGCCAAAGTGCCTCCTAACCCTGCACGTTCACACGTGTCACCTTTGTGTTTACTTAACTTGGCCAGCCTGTCAAAGTTAGTTCGGAAGGCCTGTCCAAGGCATCTGATTAGAGTGGAATGTAACTTTTCTTTATGGTGACATGTTATAATAATAATAATAATAATAATAATAATAATAATAATGATGATGATGATGATGATGATGATGATGTATCCAATCACCTTCCTGTGTATTGTATTCACTCCCCTTCTGTGTATTCTATATAACCCTAAGGAAATTAACATGGGGTGTTCCTTCTTAGGCACCCATGGATCCATGCATTCAATTGTAAATAAACCTATTTGCCCTGACAAGAAACTGATTTCTGAGCGAGCCTCTGAACTGCGGATCAGTGTGACAAAACCAAGGGGCTTGTGCTTTGCATCCCTGGAGAAGGCATTTAAGGGATGCCAGATCATCTCCACATCCCACAATCAACCAGACTGTTGAAAGGACTGCAAGTCCAGGGGCTGCAAAATCCCCCGAGGTTTTCAGGAATCCCTCTGGATCCACGGGCCTCCAAGGGCAGATCAATTAAATGGGTCCTCCATCTTCGCAGACATTAACAGATTTCAGCTCAAACCTTGAAGACTGCTGGGCGGGGGGGGGGGGGGTCTTGCCAAAAGAGCAGACTCCTGATAGATCACCACGATTCCACCTCCCTGAAGGCCCTCAGAGCCCACTCTGCACCTGTAAGCTCCCCCCCCCCCCAAAGCCTGCGAGGAGCAAAGGGTCGGAGAGCAGTGTGTGTCCCTCGCCAGGCTTTTGCCACGGCCTCCGGAGAACTCTCATTTTCCCCACCTGTCTCTGCTGAAAAGCAGCACACAAAGGAGCCCCCAGCAACAGAGCCCATGACCTGCGGAGGTGCTGGCTTTGGAGATGAGCACGATGCACCTGGACAGTCACCGCGGGACGACTTAAGTCGGGTTCCTGCACTGGGCAGGCGGCTGGACTTCATGGCCTTCCTGGCCCCTCCCAGCTCCTCTGCTAGCAGTGTCCAGTGCTTCCGGGAAGACTTCCTGGGGAGCTGCCCTCTCAGCCTGTTCTCTGGCCTGCTGCGGAGACACTGAATGCGTCCTGTCTTGTATCTATTATGGCCTTCAAGGGATAAACACCCTAAAAACACTCCAGAAACATGGCAAGCAGGGCAGCCCCTAATGCTGTTCTCTGGCTCGGATTTTAACTCAGGGATGGAAGGAATCCAGGTCCTCCCTCCCTCGTGCGCACTCGCTTTCTTTGTGGCTGGTCTTATCCAGCTGCTCGCTTTCTCCAAACCGCACAAACACCTTCCTCAAGCCTGCGATGTGTGCGAGGAAGGCGCCCCTTAGAGACCTCGAGAGGCTGCAGAAAGGGCGCAGCACCCACCCTACAAAGGGACTGCGATGGATGGTGGGGGCCCTGCTGGGGGGCCCTGCTCTCGAAGCACCGCAAGGGGTGCAGCACCCTGCCCTCCCCTGTGTTTCAGCCTCCCCCCAACGCCCCCAGGCCCCAATCCAGGTTCTCTGCGCTGTTCTTTCACTGCGGCTGCTGCAGCAGGGCCTTCCCACAAGAGGCGGCTCTCGGGAGCCGTGTAGCATCGCCCTCTGCCACTTCTGTGGGGACGTCTGCCTCCTGTTTCTTGTGCGGTTTCTGTACTGCTCTTAGATAAACTTGCTTGTTTCAGTGTAAATGGGGAAAGTTCCCTCCCGGCCAGGCTGGCTGGGCTGATCTTGGGGGTCCCTGCCTTGCGGTGGGTCTGCTCCGGCTCGACCGGCTGGTCCCAGAAGGCGGTGCTGGGGTCCTCGCCCTGCGGCGTGGCAGTTGTGCCGTGGGGCACCGCAAGGTCCCATTCCACCCCCTGCTCAGCATCGACAGGAATCCACGGGCAAGGTGATCGGCGGCATGGGCTGAGGTAGCATCGTTAAGCGGACGACGCTCAGCTCTGCACCTCTTGTGCCTCAAGTCCGAGAGAGGCAGTGGCCCCTCCAGATCAGGCCGAGGGCAAGCAGGGGGCAGGCACGCTGTGCCCCAAGCCAGTGCCCGGGGGGCTCCCCCCGCTGAACCAGATGAAATTCCGGCTGACAGTGCCAAGTGCAGCTGCAGAAGCCGCATCCTGGCTGGACGGCCACTGGGGTCAGACCTACGAAGGAGGCCTTAATGGGAGCTACTTCTTCAAGCCAGTGTCTAGCTGATTGCTGACTCCCCACCGGCCTCTGGCCCATTGCTCCTCTCTTGCCAGGCGGTGCTCAGCCTCTGGCTGGTGGGGAGCATCTGCCTCCCCTTCTCATTCCCGCCTGCCCCCCTTGTCTGGGCCTCTGCGCCAGCCCGTTCTGGAGCTGGACCTGAGCCTGGCCTTCGGGGAGCTCTGCCGTGAGCGCGGCAGGTGTGGCGCATGCGTGTGGATCCGCCAGCCTTTGGCGGCCCCTTCCTTCCCCACAGTTTGATGGGGCGCTTCACATGCCCTGCTAGATGGACGGACATGAGCGTGACCAGGCAGAAAACCGCATGCAGCTGCTGCACCTTTTCTCCTTCACCAATTTTCTGTGGGGAGGAGAAGGATGGAAGGAGGGGTGGAAAAATGGGGGAGAGAAGGAGGGGAAGCCATCACCGTTTGGAAGCACCCCACCCCATGCGCCCGAAGAAGCATCTCTCTGCCTGCAGCCCCAACCAGCCTCTGACCATCAATTCAAAATCAGAACGAACTGATAAAATAAATTAAAAACCACAGCCAGAACAGAGAAACAGCACCTTAAAGTAGGGAAAGAAATCAAAGCAGTGGGAACGTGTTGTGAAATAAATGGCTCTTATCAAAGCATCTGAAGACTCAACATGGAGGCCCCTTTGGGTAAGCAGTCCTGTAGCCCAAGTATTTCAGCCAAAAGGGCCCACCTCTACTAAGTGCAGTTTTGATGGGGGGGGGGGGGACTGACTCCTCCTTGCTGAACTGAATGGGTGGGCAAGATCCTGCAGGGACAGACAATCCTTCAAGGCCCAGTTCCCAAACTGCAAAGCACTTTGAATGGTATTGGGAAGCCAAAGCCCCGGCTACAAGGTTTTGCACCAGCTGAAGCTTGCAACCCTGCTTTAGCGGCAGCCCAGTGCTGCGTGCCGGGCAACGTCCTCGTCCAGCAGGCACAGCAATGCGAGCGGCACTGGCCGGACCCGCCCTTCCCGCAGGAGGACAGAATGGGTGCGCGAGCGGAGGTTACACAGAAAGGCACCTGGCCGAGGCTGCTGCCTGGCGGTCCAGGGCACACACAGGCCCAGCGGCACCCCCACCTGCAGACCCGGTCCCTCACGGAGACAAACTTTGCGCCTCGCCCCGGACCGCCCTCACACCGACCAGCAGCACCTTCGCCTCGTCAGGATCAGGCCCCACTTGTTGGGCTGCCCCCAGTCCAGCACGGCACTCAAGCACCGCGTGGCTTCGCTGGGAGCCGGTGGGAGGCGAAGCCAAGTGGCCTTTGGGTGCTGGGGGCAGCACACCTGAATCTCCAGGCAACCTTTGGCAGATGTTTCACACGAAGGGTGGGGAGTACGGAGGGCAAAACGGCAAGGAGCTGCATGCCCCTGACCTCCCACTGCCTGATTTCCTTTCCTTTTGTGGCCCTCTGCATCTCCCCTTCCCCAGCACACTAAGGAAGACGCTGGCTGAAAAGGAAGCAGGCAGGGCCGAGTCCCACACGCAGGAGCTGGAGCAGGGCTCCAGGCTGGCCGCAGGAGCACGGGGCTCGGGATGCAACAGGCCTGCTTAATTGGCTTCCACATTTGCGAGCAGGCGCTTCACCCCTCGAACAGGGACACTCTCCAGTGCCAAGCGTCGCTGCTTCCCTTTGTCCAGTTGCAAGAGAACAGCGAAGGGTGCAAAGAGCCCCGGATCTTGCACCAGGTAAGCCACTGAGCAAGAGCTGGCTCACGTATTAGAATGATGGTGTCCCACCAGATGGATTCTCGCTGCACTCTGTATGGACATACTTGGGGCTGGCCGGAGAGAATGCACATGCGCGCGCACACGGGCGCACAGCGGCACCCTCAAAGAAGCGGCTGGAGGGATTTGTCGCTTATATGCAGCCTGGACCAGGAAAGAAAAAGAGGAACTGGAATCACTCTGTGCTAAAGCCCAGATAGCACCCGAACGCGAAGCACCATGTTTTGTTGCATTAACCTTCTGAACCCCGTGCGCACGGAGCATGAGGCAGGCCAACTGCCAGTGCCAAACAGCTGCCCTGGGGGTGGCTCTTGTGGGGCTGCAACGTGGGAGGAAGTGGCTACAAAGCCCCCGCTTCCGAGGATCCCACACCCAACTGGGTGCATGGATGCCTACTACTGCACGCCTTCCCAAATTTCATGCAACCACAAGCAGCTAGTGTAGCATGAGATATAGCTGGTCTTGAACCACCAAAAGTGGGAGCATTCACTGAAGAGCATCACTCCTTAAAGCAAACAGCCACCTTTTCTGTTCTGAAAACCTGAATGGAGGACCAGTTGCAGAGCTGGGTCATTGGCCACATCTCACACCCACCTTCAAATTCTGCAGTACAAGTTACAACACATCTCCAAAAGCCGTGGCCAACGGCTCCATCAGACACAGTGATGGCCTTTCGAAAGTGTCTGCATGCGCACGGGAGCAACTTTTTGAAGTCCAGGCATTTTCCTTTCAAATTAAAGAAGTGCCCCCAGAGCAACATCAGATCAGGAGCACGACAGCTGAGCTGCAGACGAGCCTGGGATATGGTGGCTGCGGATCAGCAGTGAGGCTGGGCGCGTCTTCCTGCAGGCCTTCCCAGGCCCCCGAGACGGCACTCTCCACGTTTACAGTTGAGTAACACAACCATGCAAGAGGGGGGCAAGTATCTGGGGGGGCAGGAGGGCCAGGGGGGCATGCACATCATGCATGCTTCATGTTACCTTTCTGGGAGCATGAACACCTAGAGGGATGCGGCAGAGCCCGTGTTCCCTGGTAGCGTCTGTCCATGCTGCCGGTACAAGAGGGCGGGGCGATCAAGGCCTGCTGAGCCATCAGGAGGCAGCACCCGGGAATACACCGTCTCCACTCACCTTGCGACGGAGGCCGGGGCCATTCCCAGGCTGTCTTCCGAGTGGCACGGGCTCTGCGGGCCGCCCTTCCTCCCTCGCCTCAGCTCCTCCTCGCGCTCGGTCCAGGGAGCGTCGGTGGCGGAGCTGGTTCCAGAGTCCGGCTCTAGGAGGGCCAGAGGGGCAAAATTCTGCTGGATGAGCTTGGCACTCTCCCGAATTTGCTCCTGGACCTCCGGGGTCAGGGCAGGGAGGTCGAAGGTGAAGTAGGTGCCGCCGTGCACGTGGGCCGGAGAGGCGAGGATGTCGATGGAGTCGAGGCTGGTGTAGGACGTGCCCTTGGCCCGGTGGGACTCCATGATGGTCTCAAAATGCTTGCTGAACGAGTCCATGCCGTCCCTGGACAGGCTGTGCCGGAGCAGGAAGGGCACCGGGGATTTGAGCAGCCCTCGGCCGTCTCTGCGGTTGAGCCTGGAGATCGGGGCGGGGGGCGGGGAAGGGGGAGAGAGGCGCTGGTGACTGAGGAGCAAACGCGGCACGGCCCCCTCCCGCTCCCTTCCCTGCTCTCCGAGCAGGAGAGCTGCCTCAGCGCCTTCCGGGGAGTCGAGCCGCTGCCCCGGCACAGGGCACGCACACACAGTCATCCCGGGGCCGCAGCTGGCCCCTGGCCCCCCGTCAGGGCCTGCCCGTCCCAGTGCGACCTCTTTTACTCTCATGCAGACACAGAGGAGCCAGTCCGGGGGGCGGGGGGGGGGGGGGGGGGGGGGCTTTGTGCCACTTTGGGCAATGTAAACTGCAGGAGTGAGGGCCTGATCCAGAATTTTACACGGGCTCTAGACACTGTGCGGTCAGGACGCGCTCCAACGGAACCAAGCTCAGGGAGCCCAGGTTCCATCTGGATGCCAGGAAGCACTTCCTGACAGCTGGGACCCCGAGGGTGTGGAAAGGGCTTCCACGCGAGGTGGTTGAGGCCCCACCGGTGTGGGTGCTCAAGGAGAGGCTGGACATGCACATGGTGGGCATGTCATGAGTGGAGCCGGCTGGAGTCGGGGGTCAGACTAGATGGCCCAGGAGGCCCCTTCTGACTCACTCTGCTATTATGCTTCTATTGTCAATTATAACTCTCAACTGGAGGAACACCAGCACTTCTCAAGCACTGGAAAGGCTGCCACACTGAGGGTGTCAGAATCCGTCATCATCCCAGAGTGCAGGACACGCAGTAATAGGGCCAAGTTACAGGAAGATCCCTTCACTGTCAGAGCAGTCCAGCAATGGCGCCCACGACCTGGGGAGCCGCTGGGCCCTCCCATGCGGGAGGCAGCCGGGCAGCCACTGGGCGGGGACGCATGGACTGGGAGTCCTGCACGGAGCAGGGCCCGGACCCACTGGCCTCACTGGCCCTTGCCCACTCTACCCTTCCAAGCCTCTCCTGGGGCTCCCAGTGTTTCCATCGTGCACTCCGATCGGCGGTGCTAAGCGCCCTCTTCCCAAGGCACCCCCGTCTCCCTTTTGCGGCCAGAGCAACTGCTCTCTGTGTCATGTCCGTTTCCACAGTTTTCAAGGTGCAATCATAAAAACAAGACTGATCAGCACGCAATTGCTCTGGCTAAAAAGAGGACGCCAGGTACTGAAAATGGCTATGCCTTGCACAGGGAATACGAACTGATGAATTAAGAGCCAGTTCCAGAACAGGCCGACTGGGAAGCTGAAAGCCACTGGTGCATAGAAGTGGACGGCGCCTTTTTAAAAGGGGGAAGCCCTTAACTACCTTTAGCGGAAGATTGCCGGAAGAAAGAGACCTTTGCTAAGCACTTCTGAATAGCCATGCAGCAGGATCTTGCCCGCTGCGGGATGTTTACACGAACTCCAACCACATCCCAGGGACACAAAATGTATCAGTCCTGAGAGTGTTTCAGGAGTCTGGAGCTGCACATGAGCCCCCTTGGGTTTGCGTCCAGTCCATGCACGCACCTTCCTCCTCCCTCTCAGCCTATCCTCCCCCACACACTCACACTTCTCCCCTCTCCCAGGCAGGTGCCAGCAAAGGTAAAAAGCCTTTGTCTCTGCTCTCTCAGAAGCAAGCAGAAATACAAGAAGGGTTGCCTCATCAGTGTCAGGAAAGGGAACTGGGCAGGGCTGGCAGAGGAAATTCGCGCCTCCGCAGTTGGAGAAATCCGTCCCTCACCAGAGAGCTGGAGAAGGAAGCCGCCTGCTCCCCATTCCCCCTCCCTGCTTAGTGCCAGGAAGACGCATGACCAGGGAGAGACCGGGCTTGGTCCGAAGCCGCCACAGCGCTGGCACGGCCTTAATCCGCCCCTGCCGCTCTCTGGGAAAGCCGCAGCAGGGCAGTGCGGCAGACCAGGAGATCCGCCTGTCCCACAGGAAGCGAACCCCAGACTTGCGAGGCCGTCTGGCTGCCCCCGAAGCGAGCGAGCGGCGTCACCCACGGCCAGTGCCGACCCCTGGGGCAGCCTCACCTCTCCTGCTGCTGCTGCTGCTGCGCCGCCTCGAACACGTCGCCCCCCTCGCCGCCCGGCGCCGCGCTCCTCGGGCACGTGCCCCCGCCTTCCCCGGGGCGCTGAGCCAGGAGCTCGCCGGGGTCTGTGTCGCCTTTCCCCAAGATCCCTGTGAAGCTGGGGTTGCTCTCGCTGTCCTTCTGGCTCTCGATGGCGGAATCCACCTCGTCCTTCTCAGCCAAGATGTCATCGATGTTGGTTTCATGGTAGCACCTCAGGGGAACAGAATCCAGGTCTGTCTCCGAATACTTCACCGTTCTTCGGATGATGCCAGTTTCATAGTTTCCGAGCTTCGTGCTGCCTGGTGGGGCCACCTCGATTTCGACCTCGACGTGGCACAAGCTATGCTCTGGCTCCATCCAGCCCGGCTTTGTCTGCATCACGTGGCTCGGTTTCGTGGGAAGCTCAGCGGGAGGGCCCGGGGCACTCTGAGGAGCCATCCCTGGAAAGGAGACCCCACGTCAGCAACACGGGAGCCCCCTCCTCTTCCTGGAAGATGCGCTCCCTCAGCCTTGCATGCATGTCCCCAGCCCAGAACGGCAACACGCAACTGGCCAGCGCTGCGGCTGCACCAGGTAAATGTCCCATAAGAGCAGGAAGGCGGGAAGACCAAAAGCAGAAGCGTCGGCACCCGGCGGGAGGGGAGGGAGGGGGCAGGCAAAGCGCCTGGCCAGGAGCACCCCTTGCTTCTAAGAGCCGGCTGCCAGGTAGCCGGCAGCATCCAAATCCTGGAAGTCACGGGCTGTGAGAGGGAAGAGACCGGCCTGGGGCTGATTCAACGTTCCCGAATGTTTAAGCCCAAAACATGCATCACCTTTCGGTCCCCACCCCATCCTTGGATCTCGCAATCAGTGAGAAGGATAAATAGTCCTACGAGTTTCTGTGCCTCACGATGTCAGTGCAACCACACGGGGGGCACATGAAGAGCACAGGCAGGGTTCCCCAAGGTCCCCAGCATGAACCCTGCCTCTGTGAGGGCTCGCGCGGCTTCAGCGCCTCCCCATAGCCTGGGCCGGCCGCGTCTGCATCTCGCTTTCTCCTGCAAAGCCGCCCTTGGAAAGGGTCTCCGAAGGGCAGGAAGAAAGCAACACACTGCAGAAAGATCAGTGCAGCGAGGGACCTCGGCTTGCTGCAAGCCGCAACGGCTCTCGGAAACCGAGGACTGCAAACTCTGATGAAGCACTGTTTAGGCCAGGGCGTGGGGGTCCGTAGCTCTGGGGCAGAGGGAGTGGCTCTGCTCCCCACTCGCTCGCCAGACCGCAAATTTCTGTGCTCCAAACGGCCCTCCCTCCATGCCGAGTGGAAGGGGGCAACTCAACCAGCCCGTCTCCCCAGCTCAGGGCTTCCACCTGATGCCCAGATGGCATCATCTCCCGCTGCAACCCTGCCAGGCCTTCCCACACCTTCCAGCCGCCTTCCTGCCATGCAGCAGCCACGAAGGAGGGCACGGCGGAAGGGCTGCGTGAGGTCCTGCCACAGCCTGGGCGTCCCTCCAGCCTCCCTCCTGCTGAGCTCGCGCAGGAGGCTGTGCGGGAATGTGGCCGGGCGAGTCATGCGCAAGCCAAGTGGCAACAGTGGGCTCACAAGCAGTGCTCCACTGGGAAGCTTGCGCACGAGCCACACCACGTGGGAAGCAGCAGCAGGGCCTTCTCCAGCGGAGCTGCTCAGGAGCGACTGGCGAGGAGGGAGGGGCCGCCTTTGCTGGCACCAGCATGGGGTGCTCCCCCGTGGCTCCACAGGTGCTGGGGCGTGGCGCTCGGGGTGCCTCCCAAAGAGATGTCGGCAGCGCTACTGCGAGCCCCTTACCTGGCCCGGGGGGGCCCAGAGAGCCGTAGAAGAACTCCCACTTGGCCTTGGCGATCCGCTGGGCGTGGGCAGAGCTCTCCCGGGAACATGCCCACAGGCTCCCCTGCGGATGAGAGAGAGGGTGGCCGTGTGGGGACACCGCGTGGCGGGGGGAGGTGCTCAGCTGGCAGTGGGTGCCATGCTCACAAGGAAGGGGCCCGCCCCCCTGCAACCTACCTGGCAGTGGTGGTCCCCACTCTGGGGGCTCCTCCGGAGCAGGGAGATGTCCTTGGTGGGGCTGCCCATCCCGTTGGTGAGTGAGCTGGAGAGGCAGTTGCCGTGGAGCGGGTGGGGGCTGCCGTTGGCCAGGCTCCGGGGGGACTGCACCCCGGAAAGGAACCTGTTCCCGGCCAGGAGGGGGTCTGAGGCGGACGTCTCCAGCTTCAGCTTCTGGCCAAAGGGCTCCTGGGCTTTACTGCAGAGGGCCAGGGGGGTCCATTCACCTGGAGGGCCGGGCCGGGCCGTGGGGTCTTCCCTGGCCTTCCTCTGGAAGCTCCCGCTCAGCTCTGGAGCGGCCAGCTCCGGGGCCACGTGGCGCTGTGGGGAGCACTGATGCTGGGCCAGGGGGCAGCTGCTTCCATGCCTGCCCGGGTGGGGGGCCTCACCGCACGCCCAGCTGCCCTCCCGCCTGGGCTCGGCCAGCGGGAGGCCATTCAGCGTCTTCACACTGGCCTTCTCGATAAACCGGAAAGTCACCACGGAGCTCTGACCGTCGGGGACCGGAGCCACCAGGGGGGTGCGGCTGCCTGGGGAGCCCAGGGCGGGAGGCGGCCTGCTTCTCAGGGGGGTGCACGGCGCCGTCGCTCGCCCTGAGCTGGGGCAGCTGCCGTTGCCCAGGTGGTGCGTCTCCGCGGCCTTCCGGAAGAGGGAGCCAGTGCTGTTGTACATGCCCAGCTGCGCCCGCCGGGCAGCCGGGGGAAGCCCCTTGCGCAGCAGGTGGATCCGGCCGGCGTTGAGGCTGGGCGAGAGGCAGCGCTGGGCGCTTGGGGCTGCAGTCTCCGTGTTCCGGGGGGGTGACAGCCACGGCCTCTGCTCGGGCTCCCGTGCGAAGTGCTTCGGTGACATGGCGTGCCCCCCCTCGGGGCGGACGCACAGGACGGCTCCCGCCTGGGACATCCTGGGGTTCAGCAGTGCCACGGGACAGGGCGTGGGAGGGAATGGCGGCGCCAGCACTCCAGGCACTGCCCAGGGGAGAGGCACCCCGGGAGCCGCCGCAGCATGGCCCTGAAACAGATCGAAGGAGTCCGTCAGTCGGAGATGAGCAGGCAGGGCGCTGCGGCCCTCTCCACCCACGGGGCCGAGTGGCCGCCGCAGCGAGGACCTCCGCCCAGGCAGCCCGCGGCAGGGTCACCCGCCACTCCACGTGGCCCCTCTGTTGTGGGCCCTGGGCTTTCCCGGCAGGTGGGGCAGGGCAGGGCACGTGGCTGAAGCGAGGCCTGGGCATCCCCCTGCCGCAGCAGCTGGGTGCTCGGCCGGGTCCCTCGCCCCCCCCATGGTGCTGCCAGGCATGAGCCGTGTCTGCGCAGCCTGGGTGAGCCAAGAAGGATGCATGATTGCCCAGGAGAGGCACCTCATTCCTCCCCACGGCATGGCCTGGGGGCTGCCAGGGGGCTGCGAGGGGCAGGGGTGCAAGGAGGGCACAAACCCAGCTTGCGGGGTTGCCAAATGCACAGCCTGCCCCATCTCTTTTTCCATAGGCAGCTCATTCCCAGGCCTGAGCATCCAAATGGGCATAGCCGTCGTGTTGCGATGGGCCCAGCAACACGCAGCGTGTGCAGGCAGGCAGGCAGGCAGGCGGCAGGCGGCAGGTTCAGCTGGCTCCAGAAAGCCCCTGCAGGCATCATTTCCGAGCAGGAACACGCCAGGCCCGGAGTGAGCACAGCCCCTGTGGCTGCCTGAGCGGCCCCCGCCGGGAGGGGCACACGTGGGGCCCCCAGCCGTGGCCTCACAAGGCCCTGCTCGTTGCCACGGGGCCCATGTAGGGGAATCCTTTGGGGCAGCAGGATTCGAAGGGGGGCGCCTGCCCCCCCTCTGCCCCCCTGACAGCTGCTCTCCTCTCAGCACCAGCAGGGACACGAGATGCCAGGCAGACGCACCCCTGAAGGAGCCCTTCAGCATGAAGACGCTTTGCCAGGAGCAGGGACAGGACCAGTGGCTGCCCCCCCCAGCAGAGAAAGAGCAAGGGGCAGCGCTGGGGTGGGGTGGCCGTGGGCTTCTGTGGTGCCTGCCCGGCCCTGGCCAGCCCTGCACGTCTCGGCAGGGACCACCGGCGAGGGCAGCCTGAAGCTCCCCGGCGGGAGTGCAAGGCCTGGAGCAGTGGCCCTCTGGGCAAAATGGATTTTCACAGGCCCCCTCCTGCGGACAGCCAGAGCATCCGCTTGGCTGCTGTCGCAGTTGGAAAGTCAGTTTACAAGGGGGTTTCCTGAATTTGCTGGAATGCCCTCAGTTTAGTGATCCTGAGTGGTTCCAGGAAGCGCAGCATTCTCAAGGAGCGGCGTTCCTGCGGGCTGGATGCTCTCCCCGGAATCCCGCTCTCCTGCAGCCCAGCTGCTCTCAGCCCGTCTCAGAGGCGGCCAATTTGCCCAGGGCGCCACACAAAAGGGGGCTTTGCAAGGACAGGACAGCTGCTGCGGGAGGGGCTCCGGGGCTCAAAGCCAGGAAGGGCGGGGGGAGAACGCCTTGCGCATCACCACGGGAGGCCTGGCCACCGCCCGAGGGCCCGGCCTGCCCCCTTGAAAGCGCACATCCACAGTTAGTGGGCTCAAACAGACTCTCCAGTGTGGGTCCCAGACAGCAAATCGGCATAAACATCCACTGAGGGGCAACAGAACCACACTCACAAGACCCTCTGCAACCATTTAGAAACATAGAAACAGAGCGAGTCAGAAGGGGCCTCCTGGGCCATCTAGTCTGACCCCCGGCTCCAGCCGGCTCCGCTCACAACATGCCCACCACGTGCGCGTCCAGCCTGTCCTTGAACACCCTCGCCGAGGGGGCCTCAACTGCCTCCCGTGGAAGCCCGCTCCATGCCCTGGGGGTCCTAACCACCTGGAAGTACTCTTTGAAGGACAGTGCAAGCGATGTGCCTGCTGTGGAAGTGAGAACATGATGGGAACCATCAAGCAGAGGCAAAAGCCACGCTTCACACGAGCAGCTGAGACGGCAACATTCCTGCTCACCAAAGCTGGCTTGTCAGCGCTCAGTGTTACCGGCTGATCCTACCAGCACTGTGGAGGTCACTGCAGCCGGGCGCCTGAGGACCACATCGTCCGCAGCCTTGCCCCACGCCTGCCGGCATGAGAGTTCATGAAGGGTGGCTTGGGCTGAGTGGCTGCACTTCAGAACTTACCACAGCCCAGCCGGACAGCCCCTGGGCCAAGCTCCGTTCCGTTCCATGAAACTAAGAACAAGGTGTTGGTGGGGTCTGAACTCCAACCCACCAAGCCACTCTGCTGAACTGACAGTTTTCCGCCTCCACACCCGTTTCACAGAAGGCCAACCAACGATGCTTGGAGACAGACTACTTCACCAAAAAGCCAAGTGCAAGGGAGGGCGGGGCCTGAGCCCCAACCTCACTCCCCTCACAACCTGTGTGGGGCCCAGCCGTGGCGTGGAAGCAGCCCGTCACCAGCCTCGCTTCCGCTTCTGCCGCCAGCACTGGGCACGAGGGCCCTGCTCCCTCCCCCTGCGGGGCAACAGCGCACGCAAGAGCTGCAAAGGCGACCGAGGGGCGTGCCGAGCTCCGCGACTGGGCAGCATGGCGAATGCCGGGCTCGTGCTCCGGGACTGAGAGGGATGCCCGTGCAGCTTGGCCTTCTTTTCCTCCCCGCCTGACCCTCCTACTTCCTTCTTATCTCCTGGGAAGTGCCAGTTGTGGTAGGGGGGATTCAGGGAGGAAGCTGGAAGTGGCAGAAACGGGAACAAGAGAAGTCAGGATAACCATGTGGGGAAGAATGCAGGAGCCCAAAGCAGCCACCACCCTAGGATTCTGCCGTGTTAGGAGAGCAACGAGCCAGAGAGCCCAGCTGGGCGCAGCCCTCACCGAGCTGTGGGTGGAGGTGCTTGGCTTGGCTGCACGCGTGCTGGCTGCTGGCCAGAAGAGCCGCACGGACCCGTTAAGAGGCAGTGCTCTCTCTGGATTAGCCAGAATCCTAACGAAATTTAAAAAATTCTATTTATTACGACATGGAAACAGCCACAATGAAAAGATGAACCCAAAGTCAGTACATCACTACTGTCAACGCTGCCATCGCGTTTTCCGACAAGCTCTGGTCCGCTTCCCATGGTTCATCCCCTACAGAGCAGTTTGGCCTTTGCAGCCCTCTGCCAGGCCTTCATGAGGTCTGCTCTGCCCCTGCTCAGAGTGTTGCCTGGTGGTGCCTCCAACGGGGAACCAGCTTCCCCCGGGGATCAGGTGGGCCCCAGCAGTCCTGACACTCGGGGCGTGCTGAAGACGCATCTGCTTCTGTGAGCCTTCCTGGGGCGTGGCTGTGCAACTGCAGATGGTAATCCTATGCACAGTTTTTATATCCATTGTTTAAACGACTTATGTACTCTGCTTTGAAATCTGTAGAGATGAGGTGGTTGTACACATTCGTGAAGGGCAGGAGGAAAGGCAGTAGGTCCTTTCCTTGGATGGGGGGGCAGAACCCTGCCCCCCCCATACATTCAGCTGCAGGGGAGGCGGCTGGCCAGGGGCAGGGGCTGCCTTTGGTGCGCAGGGGCTTCTCAGCCCTCTCCCGGCAGCGTGTGTGCCATGTGTGTGCCGCCAGTATGCGTGTCCCGCTCTCCGTGCGCAGGCTGCGAGAGGGGGCAGTGGCACAATCTGGTCCGACCTGCACAACTGGGCAAAGCTGTGAGATGCAGCCTGGGAGGAGCATCCACATCCTGGAAGCACGTCTGCGCCCAAGACATGGCACCTCCGTCTTCCAGCAACGTCCAGTCCCTGCATTTTGTGCTTTAAATATCAATAAAGGAAAAAGGATCCATGCTGCTAAACCATCGTGTCTTCAGACTATAAGGATTTCAATAATTTTCAAGTGATAGATGGCATTCCTTCGAATGTGACATTTACGCAGCACCAATGGTGAATCTTACGCACACTTCAGAGAGGGAGCACCAGTGAACAACGGGGAAACTACTTCTGGGTAAATGTCAAGGCCATTGCACAGCAGAGGGCTGATGCTTCTGGGTGGGGGGGCACCAAGCCCCTGCGCCTGATTGCACACCCTCCCCTTGCCGATCAGCGCCAGGTGCGCAACCGCGGCCCTCCAGCTGCCACTGCCTTCTGTCTCTTCCTTCCTTTCGCAAGCAGCGGAAGGAAGGAAGGAAGGAAGGAAGGAAGGAAGGAAGGAAGGAAGGAAGGAGAGCTGCCTTCATTTGCAAAGAGCTTCCCCCAGGGGTGGGAGCTTCCTGAAGAAATGATTTCCCACAACTGAAGTGACCAGTTCTCTCTCTCTCTGCCTGTGCAGAGGGAGGAGAAGCCCCGCTCAGCTGCTTCTGAGCCCTTAACCTGGCTGCATCCCCTTTGAACTTGCCTTTGGGGGCAGCTATCAAGGCCCAGAGCTGTCCTGAAATGCTCCGTATTTTTGCCTCTTCCTATTATATCTGCTCCCTGTCATTCTTGAACTTCCATGAGATAATCTCCTGGGTGTGGTGGGAAGGGGTGGAGGGAATGATAACTATTTTAATGCCTTTTTTAAAAGTTTGCAGCCCTTAGAAAGAAAGAAACTTTCCCCCCAAGCGATTCTACAATTGCATGAGGCATGCTGAGTTTGCAATCCTACCCTGCCTTTGTTTCCTGGGGGTTACTGATTTAATCCCCTCAAGCCACCTGTGGGGGGGGGGAGCACTCTCCAGTGCCCAGATATTTCGCCTGGTGGAGGCACCATTGCCCAAACTGCTAGCTCCCAGTGGGACCTGCTCAGGGGCTGCAGGATTGCAGCCTCGGAGTGAGGATGCTTCCCTAGCAGTGCAAGTCTGCATGCATCTACTCAGAGGTACATCCCATTGAGCTGAATGGGACCTACTCCCAAGTAAGGTGCACAGAACTGCAGCTCGGAAGTCCCAGGAACTGGCCACAACCCAAAGGAGGCCAGGTGAGCACCAGTTTGGGAGGAATCAGAAGGACCTCGGCGTGCAGGGCTGCCTTCAGGCGGTTTTCTCAAGGACGATTCGGACAGTAGCTTTCTGTGCTGAATTGCACAGGACAGTGTTCAGCCTGATTCGGCTGGACATGCACGCTCTCCTGCACCCCTGCCTTGCGCTAGCGCCGCACAGTCGTTGCCCATCCACCAGTTGTGCTCCAGCCAAGCCAAATCATTCTGTCCAAGCCAATTTTGCACGTCGGGTCAACGGCTATATTGCCACGAATGCAGGAGCCCCTCCCGACCATCGGAGGGAAACCGTGCACCCCCGATGGGAGTGCGCGAGCGCAGCACCCTCACCGACCTGCCTGGGGTGGACAGGTTCGGCCGAGGCGATAGCGACCGTCCTAGATGGTTCTGCCTGCGTGAGGCGTTTCTCGGGCAGCGCCAGAACCTCGGCCAACGGGGCCGCGGATGCCCTGCAGACCCTCAAGCGCCTCCATAAGGGCCCTTCCGAGGCACGCCTGCTGAGCAGGAGCCACAGGAGACGCTGGGTGTCCCACTGCAGGATGAGGGACAGCCCCCCCCGCCCCCCCGCCACTGCCAGGGAACATCTGCCCCCCGCCGCTTCCTGAGGCTGGGAAGGCACCTGCGGAGCAGGGCAGGAGAGGGAGTTGTTCCAGGGGGCGGCAGGGAGAGGGGAAGGCCACGAGGCGAGGGTCCCCTTCACTCCTGCTTAGGCCTCATCCGGAGCCCTGTGTCCAGTTCTGGGCACCACTGCTTGGGACAGGCAGACGCAGACAGAGCTGCAAAGGGTTCAGAGAAGGGCAGTGAGGACGGTCCAGGGATTGGAAACAAAGCCCTGGGAAGGGAGGTGGGAATAAACGGGCATGTGTAGCCTTGAGAAGAGAAGACTGAGGGGAGATACGGGAGCGCTCCGCCAGTCACTCGCAAGGCTGCCACAAACGGGAAGGAGAGGGTCTCTTCTTGTGCACCTCAAAGTGCAGGACACGGAAAAATGGGGCCGGGTTCCTGCTGGACATCAGGAAACATTTCCTGCCCTGAAACCCATACCCCGGGGCAGTGCTGGGCTCTCCCACTGGAGGCCTCGAAGAGGCAGCTGGGCAGCCCCCTGAGAGGGACGTGGGAGCTGGGAGTCCAGCACAGAGCAGGAGGGGTTGGGCCTGAGGGCCCTCCGACTCCTTCCAGCATGACTGCCCCCGGATTCGGTGATTTCGTGAGCCCAACAGGAAGCATCTCGGCTTTGCCAGGCCTTCATGGATATGCAAGCCAAGCATTCCCAAAAGGCGCACCGAGTGCTTGGAGGGAGCATGTGGGTCCAAAGCAGTGTTTGTGCCATGCTGTGCGATGGGCAGAATACAAATGCGATGCAACAACAGCGGCCACAACAAGTCAGGAGCAGACCCACTCAAGGCGCGGGCGACCGCCTGAGGATGCGCGCATGACGGAGCAGAGCACACGGCTGGGCAGGCCGGGTGCAGACCGTGGAGCCTGGCCTGCCCCTGCGGCCCGAACCAGCCCTGCGGCAGGAGGAGCAGCCCCCGCCCAGCCCCCTGCAGGCGTGGCCGATGGCGCCGACCCGCACCCCTGAGGCACCTCCGCATCGCCCGTCTCCCGCAGCGAGAGCCCCCTGCGTCCTCTTACGTGCAGGAGTCGCCCCGTGCAGGAAGGGGGATCTGAACGGCACGCTCCTCCGTTTGCCCGCTCGGAGGCTCAGCTGGGCAAGTGCCCAGGGAGCGCGCAAGGTCGGCCACCGAGGTGCGCCTGGGGACCTTCCCCGGAGCCGGGCAGAGGACGAGCGAGTGTGCCCACCACCACGCAGGAGGAGATGCTCAGCGCGCTGGGCACGACCTGTCTGCCTTGCTGCCCATCCCAGCCAGGCCCACCCCCGCCCAGCCCCGCCCTGCCGGGATGGCCCAGTCCCCTCCTCCTGTCCATCGGCTGGAGCCCTGTGGCTGATCCCCAGCCTAGATCCGCCCAGCTCTCCTAGCTCAGCAAGGATCAGCCCTGAATGCATGTGACATCCATCTGGATCAGCACGGGATGAGTTCCCAGGGCAGGGCAGGGCAGGGCAGGCAGGGGCGTAAACAAGTTCTGAGCCACCCAAGCCCTCTGTGGAAGGTCAGGTGAGGGAAGGGGAGCTCGAGCCCCGGGTTCCCAGGCCATTCCCACCCTCCCGCCCACGGCTTCCTTCCCCGGAGGCAGCGAAGGAACCCCTCCCGGCCAGGTACGCTTCTTGCTGAAGCAGCTCTCAGAGCACTAGCGGCAAGACTGCCTGGCGGTTCGACGCTCCCACAGGGGTTCAGTGCATGTGTCCAACAGGTGTCGCGCCCGTCCGGCATCTGGGCTCTCTCTAAGGCCCGGTGACGCCCCGGAGAAGGCCAAGCATGGGTGCCGGGAATTCTCTGCTTCGCACACCTGCCAGGACTTTTGAACAGATGGAAACACACGCGTGGAACAGACTCCTCTCTGCTCACGGGCCTCTTTGTGTCTCCCAGAGTCCTTCTCCCCAGCAGGAGCAGGCCTCAGCTCCTGCTCTGCTCTGTATGCAAATGTCAGAGGCGCTGATTAGCAGAGTGAATGCTAATTCCCTTGTCTGCCTGCCCCTCCCCCACACACTGAGCATGACGCCTCTCCGTTTCGACCACACTGTGTGCACATGAGTTCTCCCGAGTGCATGTCCGTCCCCGCCACGCAAACGCAAGCACTCACGCCAACACGCTGGGGGCACTGCCAGGGACCAGGAGGGGGGCTGGTTCTGCCCATTCCCAGGCAGTCCGAGGCACACACAGATGTGCTCTCTCACACACAAAAGGACCGGCTGCCCTGGGCAGAGGCAGAGCCGGCGCCTTCGCTCAAAAGGCGAAGCGGGGCTTCCGCTGCACCCCGCCCCGCCTGCAGGAGCGGCCCGCACGGATGCGCCCACGCGGCCTCCTGTGCAGAGCCGATGTCGCTTCAGTGCTGCGCTTGCATGGCAGACTGAGAAGCCACGTGGCGTTCGTCAAGAGCTTGGCCAACATCAGAAGCCTCTCCGCTCCCGCACAGCATCCGTTGGTGGAACTGGGAACACCCAGAAGCTGGACCAACGGCCAATCACGCCCGAGACCCCCGGGCACCTTGAGGCCGCAGCGAGCACTGCACCAAGCACCACCTGCCCATCCAGGTGAGCAGGGGCTGCGAGCACGAGCCCGTGGGCCTGGGAGCGACTGTACGCGGAGGGGAGCCTGGGCTGCCTCGGGCCGCTGGAAACGCAGCGGGAGCCAGGGCACGACCGGCGAGGCAGCCTCTGCCTGGCAGGCGAGGCCCAGGCTGGCCAGCAGGGCCCGCAGGCCTGCAGCGCGGGGCTCAGCAGCACAGCCCCGCGTGGCCTGCAGCCCCACTCCACTCCGCCCCGCTCCCGGCCTCCCCGGTGCTGGCCAGCAGGCGGACGCAGGGCCTGGCTCCACAGGGAGCTTCCCCTGCAGCTGGGGGGCGCTCAGCAGCCAGTCACTCGCCCCGCGCCGCCTGCTCGCCTTGGGGCGAGGGCCACCGTTCTGCGCACGCTTCCGCGGAGGGGGCCCGCAGAGAGGCGCTCGGATCTAGGTCTGAATGCGATGGAGGCGCGGCTGCTGCAGAAACGGGGGCGGTCGCACTGGGCCGCCCGCTTCGGTCCTGGGGCATGTGCCGAGCGGCCGGCGCAACTTCCTCCTCCTCGAAAGCGCGCCGCGCTCGCGGACACCCCCTCCCCCGCGGTGCAGCCATGACCGAAACGGCGCCCCCCCCCCCCGCTGCGGACAGACCCACCTCAGCAGGCACAAAGGATGGGCGGAGGAGCCGCGGCTCTTCCTCCCCGCCCGGGCCCCCACGGGCCCCGGCCCTCCGCCCGCGCCACGACAGCCAGGGGGAGCTGCGCCCCCGCCCCTCCACCGCTTTCGCGCCCCTCGGTCCAGGCCCGGGCCATTCCGGGGAGGCGCAGCCGCGCCCTCCGCTCCGAGCGACGCCGCGGGCCGGTGTGGCCGGGCCTCCTGCGCTGGGCGGAGGCCGGCGCCGGGACCGCTCCGCCACCGGCCGCCGGAGCCCCAGAGCGCGCCTTTGTCTTGCTCGCCGGCCGCCCCCGCCCCAGCTCGCCCGCGCAAGCCTGCCCGACTCACCGAGCAGGGAGCGTCCGGGCGGCTCCGCCTCCGGCTGCCACTGCGGCCGCCGCCTTCGTCCCCGAGCCCGCCAGCGGCCGCCGCGCTGGGCCGCCCCTCCACGCCGCGGCGAGAAGCGGCCGCCGCCGCCCCTCCCTGCTCGGCGCAGCAGCAGGCGGCGAGCGCGGCGCTTGGGTCGAGGCAGCCGCAAGCTGCGCCCCGCCCGCCCCCCGCGCAGGCCTCGGGCGCCAATCACCGGTGCGCTCGCTCGCTCGCCCGCTCGCCGCCGCGCCGCCCCCGCCGCGCCCTCGGCCACCACTCCTGCCTGGGCGGCTCCCTCGGGGCGCTCCCGCATCCCCGCCTTACCTGCCGGCAGCAGAACCGCGTTCGGGGGCCGGCGCCGCGGGCCGGCTGCGCGGCTTCTCCCCGGCCCCGGAGACACGCGCGCGGCGCGTCCCTGTGCCTTCCGCCCGGGCGGCGGGGAGAGCCGTCGTCTGGCGCGCTCGCGGGGCCCGGCGGCTTTCACGCGCGCCGCCTCCGCGGCCGGCTGCCCCTGGCGGCGCCTCTGCCGGCCCGCACTCTGCCTGCGCCCGGGGCGCGCCCCCTCTCCGCCCCCGGAGATGCCGCAGCCCGTCTCCGTCTCCGTCGCCGGCACGGGCGGCAGCCCTGTTCTGAGGGCGCGCGCTCTCCGCCGCTTCGCCGCGTAACGGACGGACCGCCCCTTCCCGGGCCACTTTGCCGAGCGCCCCCTTCGTGGCCGGAGCCTGTGCGGGGCTCTTCTCCCCCGTGCCTAACAGCCCCGTGGAGAAAGTTGGAAAGCTCTGCGTGGAGTTGGGGCTGGTCTCCCGCGCCCTGCACGTCGGAACGCTGCCCGCCCTGGCGCCAGCCCCGGCGGGACCCCGCTGCTGCCAGACCTGGAGAGGGATGCCCGCCCTCAGCGCGGTGCCAGCGACACAGCCCGGGAGGCGGTGGGGCTGCTGGGCTGGAGAGCCCTCGCCCGCAGCTCGGGCCCCCTTCTCCCCCTCCAGGGAAGGGCACCTGGCCCGTGGGCCTCGGGAAAGGTGGGAGCGCTCCAGGAGGGCCACAGGGCTGGCTAGAGGCAGAGCCAGCGGCGCCCTGCTAGGCCCCTGGCCTGTCCTGCCCTTCTGTGGGGGCCGTTCAGAACCGGAGAGCACCCCCTTTGGCTTTAGTGTATGAAGAGTGGCTGAAGGTCCCCAGGGATTTTGCTTTGCTTTTTTCAGACACCAGCGTCACCTGCTTGGGTTCGGCCCAGCCTTTCTGCCTCTGGATGGTACTGACGACACACAACACCGTTTAGTGCCTTCCTGCCCGCAAGGTCACAACATTTGCTCCCCCAGGACTGGGCCACACGCAGCTTTGCTGCTAATAAGCAGCACATTACTCTGTGCTTCATTTAACAGAGAAGATTGCCCAAGCTGCCGTCAGCCCAGCCACCAGCCTCCTCTCTCCGGCCTCCCTGCGAGCACTGAGGACTGTCCCTTCCACCCTGTCATTCTGTGGCAAACCTGTTCCATTGCAGTCGCTGAGACGTGTTCCTCCTGCCACCTTTACCGCCTGTTTGACATGCAGGGAAACTAGATGGATTGCATGTATCACAGGGCACGACAAATTTTTACCCATCATCTTGTTGGTGGGCAAACTCCTTCAAGGAAACCCCCAATGCAATGGGAGCATCATTCTCCCGGCTTCCTCATTCAGTATTTCACACGGTTCTCTCCCCACGTTCTTATTCCTTTGGATATTTTCCTGCATGGATTTTGTTACTTTTAAATCTCAGAAATCAGACCTTGAGATTGAATACTCTCAGTTCCTCTGCAATATAGCACACATGATGCAGTTATACCATGCAAATATACTGAGATGGTGGAGCTTCATCTGGCTGGCCTGCGTTCTTCCGCTTATTTATTATATTTATTTATTTATTTATTTATCGATTTATATCCTGCCCTTTTCCTACAAAGGGCTCAAGGCAGCTTACATCATTCTCCTCCTCCATCTTATCCCCACAACAACAACCCTGTGAGGTGGGTTGGGCTGAGAGTCTGTGACTGGCCCAAGGTCACCCAGTTGGCTCCATGGCCGAGCGGGGACTCGAACCCAGGTCGTCTGAGTCCCAGTCCCACGCTCTTAACCACTGCACCACACTGGCTCCACCACACTTTGTGCCTTTGCAGCCTGAGAAGGGAGCCCTGGGTGTCTGGAGGAGCCCCTGCTCCCACCTGAAGGCAGAGGGGCTTTTTTCAAGCCCTCCTCCAAGCACCCCCACCTTCCTAGTAGGGGCAGGAGGCACCTGGAGACCCTTACATGGTGGCCTCCTGCTTCTGGAACACCCTCCCCGGAGATGCCTGCCTGGCATTTTAGCTTTTAAGGGTTCGTTGCCAGCTTGTGCATTTTTTCTTTGCCCAACTTTAACAACCAGTAGTCCTGTTTTTACGAGCTGCTTTCCTTGCTTCTAATTCCCTCCCTGCTATTTGATTTCTTGTTTGTCGTGTGGCTGTTTTGCCTTTGATTGTTTTAATTAATTTAAATGGATCCCCCATTTAAAGGTGGCGTATAAATCTTTGAAATAAGTAGCTATTTCAATGCAAGCTGACCCCGAAGAACAAAGTGAGAGCGGGAAGGGATAATCGCTTCTATTTTTACTGAAGCCTTAGTGTTGTTATGGCAACTGCACGCGAGGCAGGCGAGCACAGTGACCATCTGACGAACGCTCCCTTCCTCCCGGGTTCTGCTCCCCGGATTGTGCGCAGCGCCCGCCTGCGTCCTCTGCGGCAGGCGGCATCCCGCGCCCGATGCGCGCAGCGCTCCCCCGCCGGCCGCGTTCCGGAGGCTCCCTCCCGCCGCGGAGCGGCTCTCGCCCTCGCCCTCGGGCTGCCCCGCGGCCGGCCTCCGCGCGGGGCTCCCTG